TTAATTTATAATTTTAATTTTAATTTAGAAATTGAAAATTTTCAGTTACTATTTTTTTAAACAATAAATATAATTAGTATTTTTTTATAAATAAAAATTTTTATTAAAAGCAAGAAATCAAAATTACAAAGTTACAAAGGCTTTAGTAACGAGTAGGTCGAACACGAATAACGGGAGTCTGTGACCTATCTAAACCCAAGGCCCCCCTTGCCAATCTTGACAACTCAGACTGTGATGTATACAAGACAATACCCTTAGACTGTGCCCCTACCTTGGCTAAGGCATCCGCCACTTGATTTGCCTCGCGATAACAATGCCCCACTGTCCATTCCAACCCCTGGATTGCCTCTAACGCATCTAGGTCCGACCGAACTAACCACGGACACCTCAATTTTCTTAACAGAAGGTTGACACCTCAATTTTTCAGTTACTAATAATGATGTAAGTAGCAATATCTACATATTTCAATTTCATAATACCAAAGTCGAAGCATTTTTCAAGGTGGAATATACATTCATATTGACTTCATACTAATGTTCTCCTTTTGGTTAAGTGTAAGTGTTAAAAAAGGTTTAACAAAATAAACAAGAAAAGGAAATTTGTATGTAAAACCTACATAAAGATTGAGGTGTGAATTATTTTTCTTTAGAAAATATATTACTGCAAAAATTCTTGATTTAATGTTTAAAAGCTAAGGGTATCAATGTCTAATAAATACATGGAGTGTGAATTTAATATGAATGGGTGTGGATTTAGCCCTCCTAAAATTAAATCCTTTTGAATTGTAAAGGGTTTGAAATTTTTGACCTCTAATTACTTTATTATGATAATCAAAATTCATAATATGATAAAGGGCAAAAGGAAGAGAAATCCATCCAACCATGATATTAAAAAAAAAGTAATTGGAAGATGCTTATTTTAAGGAATAGGACATTTTCAAGTTACTTACATGTTATCTAATTGTATCAATTAGCCCCTAGGATATTAATTGCATCGCACATGAGTTTTAGGCTTTGTTTTCGAGTAAGAAACAAACAAAGGTTTCTAGGCATGGAAGTTGTTCTATTAAGCTATTAAGATGGTGCTATCACGTCTTAAAAGGAAAGCTTCAGTTTTTTCTTCTTTTTTTTTTCATTAAAGCTATGGAAATTGCACCTTACTTTATACAATAAATCAGATTGAATATATTTATGAAAACTTACTAAAACTAGCTGAGTGTTTGGAAGTCCTTCTTGCACAAGAATTTGGTTAAAGTCAGCCCTGTGAGTAAATATGGATAAGTTGAAGGTTCCATAATTACTTCTTAAATGCAAAAAAATCTTTTAAATTCTCTTAAGTGATTTGGGACATACCATAATATTCGAAGTAAACAAGCATGTGCACAAGTTTTCCTCTCAACAGATGAAATAAACATGGTAATGATAAGGGTTATTATCATTTTACCCCCTTCAACTATATTACTACTATCAGTTTACCCCATAACGTTATCTTTTAGTCACTTACTCCCATAAGTAATTTAACTCAACATGTTAAAAAGTTTTGGACAAAAATACTCTTTTATTCTATAGCATTACTATATTGTTATTATTACTTTATTCCTTTAAATTATAGTGATATAATAACTTTAATTCCTAACATTATTTTCTAGGCATTTTACTTCATCGTTAATCTAACTAGTATGGTCAAACATTTTTAAATATATTTACCATTTTATATATATCATTAAAAATAAAATATTTACCCTTTTATGTATCATTCTATCGTTAATTTAAGGTTGTTATAATTAGGATTGAAACCTGGTGGTAAACAGTAAAGTAAAATAATTTTAAAATAATAAAAATATTTAATTCTTTCTTATTTGTATTTTTAAAAAAAAAGAATTGAGCTCTCTCTCTCTCTATCTCTCCCCTCCTTTCCCTCCCCTTCCCAATCTTTCTATTTTTTTTTTAATATTAAGATTGTCAAGAGAAAGAGATTAATACTTTGACTTGTTTTTCTTCACTCTAAATTCTTTTATTGCTTTTATTATACAAAATGGAGGGTACTTACTTCTAAAGTTTTTTAACTTGCTAAATTGGTTTAATGGTGAGATAAATTGTATAAAAAATAACTCTATGGGGTAAATTGATAATGAGACTATAGTTTATGGGGGTAAAGTGATAATAATTTCAATTGCTAAACTTGTCTTTTTACTTTAATTAATAAACTCCATTAAGTTTGACCGTTAGTTTTGAGGGTAAAGTGACTAAAAGATAACGTTAAGGGGGAAATTGATAGCTGCATCGAACGTTAAAAGGGTAAAGTGATAATAGCCCTAATGAGATAATGATATCTGTTAAGGCATTTAATAATAGCACAACACTTAACCACAAAGGCGTAATAATTATAAATCGTTGACATATGAATGGGGATTTACACCTACTTTTATGCAAATGGGATCTCTCCGGTTTCAATTCTGTCCAATTGTATAAAATGGCATAATTTCGATTTTAATAGATACAAATTTGGTATAAACGTGAATTATAACTAAACTAGTATAAAACTAACTATTACACAAAAAATATATTAATTTACACGAAAATTGTGTCAGTTTACACATCAGGACAGAACAGAACGGGACAAAATCTCAATTGGAGAAGCCCCTTGTCCCTACTTTTATCATCCATCTGCTGGAAATGCCCCTTTATGACCTTTTTGCCCTTGTGGGTGCTGTATGCTTGGTAGTCTTGGTAAAGGCATATCGATCATTAGCTGAGCTGGGCTGTGTTCATTGGCAAGAATGACGACGTGGCTTTGCAAAAGCATGAGGCCGATTTTGTGGGTTCAAATGTGATATACCTATGTTTACACTTAAATTTCTTTTTTTTTTAAATAAAAGGTTAAAGAAGAGAAATCTTTTGTTTTTTATTTGTTTTCTTTTTTCTTTTTTCTTTTTTTTTTTTTTACTTTCTCTGGTTGAGCACGAGTGATTATTGTTCTGCCATTTTTTATTTACCTGTTCAAGTAGATCTTTCATGATAGTATATAAGATAAATATTAATCAATACTGAAAATAGGATAAATTCCACATTAGATCCTTACTATAAACACACTCCAACTTCAATCCTTAATCTCCCGTTTCGGACATTTTACCTCCTAAATTATGAAACCCATCAAACTTTAATCCTTAGACTTTTATTTTAAACACTTTAGCACTAAAGTATGAAATCCATCACACGTTAGCGTTTAAACTTTGAGTATCACTTGCCTATCATTCTGTTAATTTTGACAATCTCTTAGGACGAATTTTATTCTTTAGGGGGTAATTAAAGTGTCCAAAATTGAAGTTTATGAATTAAATTGGGATAAATTTCACACTTTAAAGGGCAAAGTGCCAAAAATTAAAATTTGAGGACTAAAATGAAAGTGTGTCTATAGTTTAAGCGTCCAAGGTAGAACACAGCCATCAAATTCTAGGGCTATTAAGGATAGTGCTACTCAATATTCAAAATGTTCGATTTATAGCCCATGCGTAATTGAGATGATGTCTGTAGCAGTCAATTTTGATTCTCCAAATTATTGTGCAATGAGTGATCATTGTAAATCGGCAAACATACTCTACAACTATGGCTGCTCAAATAGGTCAACAAACTGATAAACGATGACAAACGATTAGATGGTCTGGATATATCCAAAATTTTAGGGTAACCGACCAAATTATTCCTCGTCAAACTATAATTGCGTAACACACACACACACACACGAATAACTAATAAGTTAGAAGTAAACTTTGAATATATATGTACACATGAACATGCAAGCAAATATAAAACGAATAATGATAACCACTTCGACGTGTGATTTCTGATATAAACTAAGGTAAACATTTATTCTATAAAACAGGAGGAAAAAAATTGAGTTCAAATATCTGCAACTTACTTATAATGTCAACATCAAATTCACAGAATTGGAACAATGAAATAAGTACTATATGTAAGATTAGTCCTTCACGTATTTTAGATATGCCAAAGCACCGTTCCGTTTTTGTTTTTATTAAGGACCACATCTCTATCTGTATTGCTTGAAGTTTTTGTATCAATCATGTAAGTGAAAATATTCGTTCATTATCTCTCTAATCTAACATTATTTTGAATCAGGGCCTCACAAGTTGGATTCTATCTAGTTCAATGTGGCTGATGTAATTCTTATAATTTTTGGTATACATTCATACAACTTAGATATAAAATTGAATTTGTTAACTCATACAACTAAGTTCACCGTTAAACCAAAACTCTGAGAATTGCCCGAACCAATTTGAACTACACAAACTATAACTTATAATGCTCTTGATCCCATCCTCCTCGCCCTTCCCGAAACCATGTGTAAGATTATCCACAAGTACATCTTAAGGGGAGATTAATTCATTGCCTTCTTCAAAGTTTTCTATTTATTTTTGTTCTCTTATTGCTACATGACCGAATCTCCTGCTGGAATGATTTGAAAGATTCATAACTTAAAAAAATGATATTTGCTAACAAAAAAAATCCGAATAAGAAAAGAAACAAAGTCTTTGTCTAAAGAAATGCGTCGAGAAAGATAGTAGCCCAGTCACAAGTTGAATTATTATGTCTCTATCACGACCCAAAAACTCGTGTAAGTTGACCAAAAATTATACACGAAAATTGTGTACACAAGTAATCTTTAGTTTTTAGTTAGGTTCAAGTCTATTTTCTGTGCACAGTACGTGGATGTTTGAGGGTCAATATAGATAAAAAAAATGTGTCAAAGTAACGTGCGGGCATTTGCACCCACTTGGATACACGTAGCTCTGCTCATGATTAGGACTACATCACATCAAACTCACAGCCAAACTAACAACAGCGAAACGTATGTAACCAAGCATACATATTATTTTTCTAACATTCACCAAGTAAACCGGATAGGTCAAGATACAAGCGTTTATCCAAGGTCCCAGTCACGATACATGCATTTAATGAAGTTTACATCTTTGGCATTTGCAGGTATCTATCAAGTTACTATACTTGGCTGCTGGAGCAGGGATTGCTGCACAAATGCGTGGGTGTCACTATAATTTTCAGTTCTGTTATTAACTAATAAGTTTGCATGATGGGAATGCAATACATAGAACTAGAAGCTAGGGATTTGGATGGTTTGCTTGATCTCGCTAATCCTAATCAGTTGTATCGGTTAGACATACTTGTTAATCAAAACCTACCCTTTTTAACAGGTTACCTTGTTAATTACTTTCACTGAAGAGGGTCTGATATAAGTTGTAATCGAACTAAATACGTGTTTAACTAATTAATTTTTTTTTTTTAAAAAAGGACATAAAATTTATTAATAATTGAAGACAAATAGTACTGTCCGGTACTATTGGAATAAATATTCATTAAAAACATGCATCGTGACTGGAATTTGATTTCAAATTTTAATTCATAACATAAATTTTAGTCCCATTTCGTGTACAAGTATTACATACAGATAAAATCATGAAAATCAGATTAATTTGATTTAATAATGTGCTTAAACATGGTTTACTTCACTTAGAGAGGAGCCAAATAATCTGTATTAACTTGCAGGGAATCAGGGAAAATCTTGCAAAGAATACCATGTAACCATTTTTATGCCGAAATCCAGTTTCCAATGTTTGTTTTACTTCAACTTCTGATTTTTGTAACTTGTGTTGTTTGGCTACAATTTCTTTTGCCATCTTCTTTGTTGTGTAATATACAGTTAATGATCTTCAAATTTACCACGCTCTATATTAACACACTAGTACTTTTCCATTTTCATCTTTTTCTCACTATTAAGGCAGATCATAGCATTGATCACTTCGATTAATGCAGGAACATACTGTTAACCTCTAGATGAACAATATGCATTCTTTGCTGGTTTTGTTGCAGAGGTCTCATGCTGGACCATCACAGGAGAAAGACAGGCTTCTAGATTACAAGGCTTGTACTTTGAAACATTGTTAAGACAAGAAATTGGATACTTTGACACTGAAATGACAGTGGGACAAGCCCTTGGGATGGCTTCAAGTGATGCCATAACCATTCAAGATGCAATGAGTGCAGAGGTAATAATTCATTTTATCCCTTAAGAAGTTCTAATCAGTTTCAAGTTACATAAATATTGAATTTCTCCTCTTATTCCCTTCACGTATTCCTGGACTTGCTTGACAATTCATTTTTTTCAGATAGGAAAGTCTATCCAATACTTGTCAACCTTTCTTTGGTGGGTTTTTAATTGCCTTTGCTGGAGAATGGCTTCTTTCTCTGTCCCTGGTTTCAATGATTCCTTCTCTTCTCATTGTTGGAGGGGTTACAGTGATTATTCTTACCAAAATGTCCATTAACACTCAAGCTGCTTATTCTGAAGCCAGAGGTGTGGTGGAAGAGACTATTGGGGCAACTAAAACTGTATGTTACTTGATATTCTTCCATTTTAGTTCGTTGACATGATCTTGAATTAGGTTGTTATCCTAAAGAAGAAGATTGACATTATTATTTTCAAATTCTTGCACAAGGTTTCGTCCTTAACAGCAGAAAATGAAGCCATCACTAAGTATGCCAAGAAACTGGAAAAAGTCAACGTGTTTTCTGCCAGACAAGGATTGGTCTCAGGGCTAGGATTAGGAACAGTGTCTTTTATTCTTTTTGTCAGGGAGAAACACCTTGAGAGAGTCCACTAAAGAGGCCAATATGTAAGTCAGGAATCCAACTCTAATCCAAAAGCTTAAGTTGTTAGGTTTTTGGCCCTTACTTACATATTAACCGCTCTGTCTCCATCTCTCGGATCAATGTGGGACACAACCCTTTACTCATGAACCTAACAAATCTTCCCCTTCATGAGTAACCCCCACATTAAACTCAAATTTACAAGCCCTTTTTTCGAGCCCACTTTAATACTCAATGCAAGCTCACCTTTATCACCAAGGTCACCTCTTCTCCCAAACATGGACCCACTCTTCTACAACATCCAAATTACATTTTGGTCCCTTGCTAACCCTTGACTCCTTAGTCTAACATCAACCGGACCCCCTGCCAAACCTATGGCACACCTGGTCCAACACCAACCAAACTTGTTGGCACTTCGGTCCATCATCAAGAAGAAAATTTTCACCAGTCCAACTCGGAAAAGAGTCCACTTGCCCATGAGTAACCAGTCTCACAACCTGAAGCTCTGATACCAGTTTGTTAGGAAGAAACACCTCGAGAGAGTTTACTAAAGAGGCCAATATGTAAATCAGGAACCCAACTCTGATCCAAAAGCTTAAGCTGTTAGGTTTTGGGCCCTTACTTACATATTAACCGCTCTGTCTCCATCTCTTGGATCAATGTGGGACACAAGTCTTTACTCATGAACCTAACACTTTTTGGTGGTTATGGACTAACCATTTGGTATGGATCTAAATTAATCCTGGAGAAAGGTTACACAGGTGGACAGGTTATCAGCATTATAGTTGCACTGGTGTATGGTGGAATGTAAGTTCAGCATTATTCTTATGGGAAAATTTCATTAGTTTTACATGCAAATTCCAATTAATTTTTTAGGTAGGATATTTTTGCCACAAATACTCCTATCTAATCAGTGAAAATAAACATTCTACCTGGAAGAGAGAGGTTTGCAATTTATCTAACGGTATCTACTGTTTCCATTGGACATTATTACCTCCCTAACTAAGTTTTTCTGACTTCTTGCACTAGGGCATTTTTACAATCTTCGTCGTGTTTAAACGCATTATCATCAGGAAAAGCTGCTGCAAGTAACTTGTTCAAGACAATCAAAAGAAAGCCAAAAATCAATGCTATTGATTCGACTGGGATTGTACTGGAAAACATCGGGGTGAAATTCATCTAAAAGATGTCTACTTCAGATATCCTGCAAGGCAAGCTGTGGAAGTATTCTCTGGTCTATCTTTACACATCTCAAGTGGTAAGCATGTAGCCTTAGTTGGGAAAAGCGGATGTGGGAAGTCAACAGTGATCAGTTTACTAGAAAGGTTTTACGATCCAGATGCTGGTGAAGTACAAATAGATGGTGTCAGTGTGAAGAGATTACAGCTCAGGTGGCTAAGGGAAAAGATAGGTTTAGTCAGTCAGGAACCAGTATTATTTGCCACAACAATAAGAGAGAACATAGCATATGGAAAGGAAAATGCCACAGAAGATGAAATCAACAAAGCCCTTCAGTCTTCTTCTGCTGCAGCCTTCATCAAAGACTTACCACTGGTGAACACTTTTGTTTCTTTATTCCTCCCTTAATTTTTTGTAAATACATGATGAGATGAACAAGCTTCTGTTGGTGTAAATATTACAAAATAATACAGAAAAGATTTGACTAGATCACTCTTAATGTTGATATAAGTTACTGGATATTTGATTTTATATCACCGGACATGGAAATATATCATGTAAGATTTTTATCAGGGTCTAGACACCGTGGTAGGCAAGCTCGGAGCTCAACTCTCTGGTGGGCAAAAGCAGAGAATTACTATTGCTAGGATAATTCTAAAGGACCTACAGTTTTCCTTCTTGATGAAATAACAAGTGCATTGGACACAAAAACTGAAAAAGCAATCTATGATGAAATCTTCGTTACTCACAGTTTATCAAGTGTTGAAACGTTGACAGTATTGCAGTTATGCATCAGGGAAAAATTGTGGAGCAAGGTAACTATGTCAAAATATTTATCTGATAACATTACTAACTCTTTCATGTCTTCTATTTAGGAACTCATGCTGAATTAATCAGAAATCAAGATGGGCACTATTCCAAACTAGTTAGCTCACAAGGGAAAAATCAAGTTGAGAATTCCAAACGGATGAATGGAGAAACAAGAAAGTACATCACTGAGACAATGGAAAATTTTGAGGGTCTGTTGTCATCCACTGAGAGTATTACGAGAGCAAGTTTATCAAGTACTAATCATTCTTCTAGAAAATATACTGGTATTAGTACTCAGGTTAGTTGCAGAGAAAATGAAATAAAAAAGGAACACAAATTTCAAAAGCATTCAACCTTTTCAATTAAGTGGCTTGCTAACCAATGCAAAGATGTTGTCCCAATTTTACTGATTGGAACATTTTCTGCAATAGTTCATGGTATAGCATTTCCAGTATATGGGTTCCTATGCGCAACAGCTATAACAATTTTTTATGAACCTCCTAGTCAGCAAGAAAAAGATTCAAGTTATTGGGCACAAATGTATGTCTTTATAGGCAGTATCACATTCTTAGCAGTATTATCCCAAAACTATTCATTTGGAGCTGCAAGTGGTAAGCTGATAAAGCAAATTTCATTGCTATCATTTGACAAGATTGTTCATCGAGAAATTTGCTGGTTTGATGATCCTTCAAATTCAAGGAAAATTGCTTAGTTGCTTACTCGTTATTCAAAGTTGTAGAGAACTTTTCTAAATTTTCTTCTTTTATTGCTTAATCTCAGTGGTTCGGTTGGTGCAAGGCTCTCTTGCAATGCTGCAATGTTGCAGAGCCTTCTGAAAGATGGCTTGTCCCTCCTTATCCAAAATATATCAACAGTTTTTGCTGGATTGTTCATAGCTTTAATGGAGAACTGCATGTTGGCATTGATACTTATCGCATTGTGTACCACGTTGGCAATGCTAAGCTTCATTCAAACAAAATTCCTCAAAAGATTTGCTGCAGATGCTGAGGTTGATCAGATGATATTTGTATTCACAGTGCAGCATGAATAAGGATTGTACAGCATACCAACTTAACAAAATTTTCACTTGTTTTCAGCTTATTTATACTGAGCAAAGTCAAGTTGCAAGTGATGCCATTGGAAATATAAGAACAGTCGCATCAATTTGTGCAGAAGATAAGGTGATGGAGTTATATCGGAAAAAATCTGGCACCAAAATGACACACTGGATCCGACTAGGAATTATAAGTATCAACTTTGGCATTTCTCAATTTGGATACTTTTTCACAAGTGCCCTGTGTTTCTACATTGGTTCCGTTCTTGTTGAACAAAAGTAAGCAACTCTGGCAGAACTTTTCAAGGTGGATAGCGCAATTATACTTTCTTTTTCTCATTGAAGTTTAAGTGTAAAATTCGGAGCTCTGGCCTGTGATTGCAGGTTTACTTGGCTTTCATAGCCTCAGCAGCAGGAATAGCACAAGCCAATGGTACGACATTAGATGCAAATAAAGTCTCTGCTTTGGCTAGTTCATTGTATAACATTTTTGACAGCAAAGAGACAAATGGTTCTAGGAGCACAACGGGCATGACACCGAAAAATCTAAGAGGTGACCTTGAATTCCAAAATGTTAGCTTCAGTTATCCATGTCGGCCAAATGTACAAATTCTGAAAGATGTGTCCTTGAACATTTCTCCTGGAAAGGTACGAAGTTTGTTTCACTGAATCTCTTTCTTAATTCCTGCTAGTACCTTTGAATTCATGCGCAGTAGATCATCTGATATTGTTAGGACTGACCCAGGAATAAATAAACTAAAGTTAGAACAAAATAGGCGGTATAACCGACCATATAATGATTAGGCGGTAGATACCAGCCATATAATAATTAGGCCGTAAAATCAACCATATAAAAGGGTTGTGACAACCCAATAAAGACAAATAACAAAGCAAAATAAAAGATACAGAAATTTACGTGGTTCGATCAAATTGATCTACGTCCACGGGCGAGGTAGGAACAATATTTCTACTATGAAGAAAAAATACAAAAACCGTAGGAAAGTGGTTCATAGGCCAAAATGGCACTTATAAAAGGTTTAAGAAATATTCTTAAACTCAAAACAAGAGAGCCTAAAATATTTGACTAAATGGCTTAGATGACTCAAGAAACTAATAGCCCATATAATACTCTCTTGAGTGGTACACTTGATTCCTTCTTCTATTTATAGGCTCTCCAACGAAGCCTTCCTGCTATCTGCTACAATGTGGGACGAAAGTATTATGCCACGGTCAAACATTACGACCGTTGGAAAAATCAATAAATTTCTACCTTGGCATAATTTCTAGTCCTACCATCGACAATAGTAAAATTGCTCTACCTTCTTCACATAAACCCCAACGGGCCAAATCACATACAACGAACACCAACCAAGCCCAAGCACTGCTTAAACTTGTAAACTGGAAGAGGTTTCATAAACATGTCAGTTGGATTGTCCTTGGTATTGATTTTCTGAATAAGGACCTTTTCTTCAGCAATGATATTCCGAATGAAGTGATACTTCACATCAATGTGTTTCGTCCTCTCATGATACATCTGATCTTTAGTCAAGTGTATAGTACTTTGATTATCACAGTGAATAATAGTAACACCTTGATGTAGACTAAACTCGCTAAATAAACTCTTCAACAACAAGGCTTCTTTAATTGCTTCGGTCACAGCCATATATTCTGCTTCTGTAGTAGACAAAGCTACGACAGGTTGTAGAGTAGCTTTCCAACTAATAGCACAACCGCCAATGCAAAATACATAGTCTGAAAGTGATTTTCTTCTATCAAGATCCCCAGCGTAGTCTGAATCTACAAAATCAGTCAAAGTGTTATTATTTCTTCCAAACTCCAAACATGCATTTGAAATACCTTGCAAGTATCTAAGAATCCACTTTACAGCTTGCCAATGTGCTTTATCAGGACAAGACATATATCTGCTAACAACACTGACTGCATGTGAGATATCTGGACGAATACAAATTATTGCATACATAACACTGCGGACTGCACTGGAATAAAGAACCCGTGCCATATAATCTTCTTCTTCATCTGATTGTGGTGATTAAGCAGCCGATAGCCGAAAATGGCTAGCAAGAGGAGTAGATACTGGTTTAGCATCTTTCATGCCAAAACGCTTCAAGACTTTCTCAAGGTAATTTTTCAGGGTCAAAAACAACTTCCCTACTCCTCGATCTCGATTAATATCCATGCCAAGAATTTTCTTAGTTGCTCCCAAATCTTTTATTTCAAATTCACTATTTAACTGCAGTTTCAAAGTGTGAATTTCTGACAAATTCTTGGCAGCAATGAGCATGTCATCAATATATAACAATAAGTAAATGAAAGAATCATCATTTAACTTCCGGAAGTAAACACAACTATCATACATGCTTTTTAAATAACCATGACCCAACATAAAGGAATCAAAACTCTTATACCACTGTCTTGGAAACTGTTTCAATCCATATAAGGATTTCTTCAATAAGCAAACATGGTCTTTCTTACCTTCAATTTCAAAACCCTAGGGTTGTTTCATATAAATTTGTTCTTCAAGTTCGCCATGCAAGAAAGCTGTCTTAACATCAAGCTGTTCTAACTCCAAATCATACATGGCAACTAAAACAAGCAAAACACGAATAGAGCTATGTTTAACAACAGGTGAAAAAACTTCATTAAAATCAACACCTTGTACCTGACTATAGCCCTTTACAACTAATCATGCTTTATACCTTGCATCTTCAACCCCTGGAATACCTTCCTTTTTCTTGAAAACCCATTTGCAACCAACTATTTTCTTATTTGACGGCGGCTTTACAAGAACCCAAGTTTCATTTTGATGAAGAGATTCAATTTCTTCATTCATCGCAATCAACCACTTTGCAAATCATCACAAGAAATTGCTTCTAAATAGGTGGAAGGCTCACAACTACATCAGTTTCTTGTGCAACAGACAAAGCATATGCAACTAAATTTACATATCTTTGTGGTGGTCGAATGTCTCTCCTTGTTCTATTTCTGGCTATGGAATATTCCTTTTCTTCTGAACTATCTTCAACAGTAGATTCAGGTGCATCTACTGGCTCTTGCTGAATAGAAGATTTGGACTGAGAAGGATCGAAACTGCCAATATCAAGCTCCACCTGCTTCTGTGTACTATCAGTAGTACAAGGACTAGAAAACTCCTTCTTGGAAGATAATATAGACAATTCATCAAAAGTAACATTTCTATTGATTATAAATTTTGAAAATTTGAAATCAGAACACCATGATCTGTATCCTTTCACCCTATAAGTATACTCAAGAAAAATGCACTTTTTAACTCTAGACTCCAATTTTTCATCATTCACATGCATGTATGCTGAACACCCAAAAACTTTTAAATTGGAATAATCAGCAGGAGTACCTGACCAAACTTCCTCAGGAGTTTTGAAATCAAGAAATGCAGAAGGAGAACGGTTGACAATATAACATGCCATATTGATTGCCTTTGCCCAAAAGTCGTTTGTCAACCCTGCATTGGAGATCATATATCTTGCTCTCTTCAAAAGCGTTCTATTTATACGTTCGTCTACACTGTTTTGTTGAGTCATCATTCTGACAGTGCGATGCCGAACAATGCCTTCATTCTTACAAAATTCATTAAATTCACCTTCACAAAATTTCATACCATTATCTGTTCTCAACCACTTAATATGTTTTTCCGTTTGTTTCTCAATCAAAACTTTCCATTGTTTGAAAGTTAGGAAAATATCATTTTTATGTTTAAGAAAATATACCCAAACTTTCTTTGAATAATCATCAATGAAAGTCAACATGTACCTGGCACCACCTTTAGAAGGAGCACGAGAAGGCCCCCAGAGGTCTGAATGAATGTAGTCCAAAGTTCCTTTTGTTCTGTGAACTGCTAGCAACTGGAAGCTAACTCTTTTCTGCTTTCCAAAAATGCAATGTTCACAGAATCTCATCTTTCCAATACTTTGACTACTAAGAAGACCTCGTTTGCATAAATAGATAAGCCTTTCTCGCTCATGTGCCACAATCTCATGTGCCATAATTTGGTGAAATCGGAATCGGACAAAGTTGATGTAGAAACAGCAGCAGTACCTGCAACAGTATATCCTTGTAAAATATATAAAATACCAGATCTGTGTGCCTTCATAACAACAAGAGCACCTCGAGTGATTTTGAGAACTCCATTTCCACTTGAATACCTGCACCCAATAGACTCAAGAGTGCCTAAAGAGATGAGATTTTTCTTCAAATTTGGAACATGTCTAACATCCGTGAGCGTCCTCACAATACCATCGTACATTTTAATCCAAATTGTGTTTTTGCCAACAACTTTACAAGTAGCGTTGTTGCCCATTAAAACAACTCCACCTTCAGTTAATTCATATGTTGAAAACCAGTCCCTAGTGGGACACATATGATACGAACAACCCAAATCTAAAATCCACGCACTGTTAGACCTAAAATTATTTTTCGTTGCACAAAAAATGGTTCCATCATTCTCATCAGCTGCTATACTAGCTTCAGCGGATTCAGTATTTTTCTCAACAAATTTTCCTTTTTGCTTTTCTTTATTTTTCAATTTAAAGCAATCAGAGATAACATGACCCTTCTTTTTGCAATAGTTGCACACTTCATTTTTATGTCTGGACTTGAATCTATTTTTATTTTCTGTGTTTCTCTTTTCAAATCTACCCCGAACAAACAAGCCATCGGTTTGACTCCCACTAGTTTTTCCAGTAATATCCCTATCTATCTGCTCTTTAGATTTTAATGTAGATTTAATTTCCCGATACGAAATTGTTTCCTTTCCATAAATCATAGTATTACGGAAATACTTAAAGGATTGGAGAAGGAAACACAAAAGTAATAGGGCTTGTCTTTATCATCAATTTTTGAATCTATATTTTTGAAATCCATAATAATTAAATCAAATTTATCAAGCTAGGAGAGTATAGATGTACCTTCAGACATCCGAAGCATATACAAACTCTGCTTCAGATATACTCGATTCTCGACTGTCTTTTTCATATGCAAGGTTTTTAATTTATCCCACATAGTTTTGGCCGAAGTCTCCATTGCTATCTCATGCAATACCTCATCAGAGAGATTTAAGATTATGCTGGATCTGGCCTTCTTATCCATATCGGTGAAATCCGCATCCTTTACATCTTCTGGCTTGTTCTCAACTCCTTGTATTGCCAAAACAACTCCATCTTGAACAAGAATGGCCTCCATCTTGAGCTGCCACATCCCGAAGTTGGTATTCCTGTTGAATTTTTCGACAACCGTCTTTGTTATCGTCATTGTTGTCACAAAATCTGTAACCTGAAACTTGTCTCGAAAAAACTAGTCAAACAAATATGCAAGTCTCGTGAGTGGGTCCCACAGGGTGAGCGGGTCCCACGGGATGAATGGACTCCACGAGGTGAACGCGTTCGAAGGATAAACGGACCTCACAGGATGAGTGGGTCCCACAGGATGGACGGGCCCTCTTGCACTAGGGCATTTTTACAATCTTCGTCGTGTTTAAACGCATTATCATCAGGAAAAGCTGCTGCAAGTAACTTGTTCAAGACAATCAAAAGAAAGCCAAAAATCAATGCTATTGATTCGACTGGGATTGTACTGGAAAACATCGGGGTGAAATTCATCTAAAAGATGTCGACTTCAGATATCCTGCAAGGCAAGCTGTGGAAGTATTCTCTGGTCTATCTTTACACATCTCAAGTGGTAAGCATGTAGCCTTAGTTGGGAAAAGCGGATGTGGGAAGTCAACAGTGATCAGTTTACTAGAAAGGTTTTACGATCCAGATGCTGGTGAAGTACAAATAGATGGTGTCAGTGTGAAGAGATTACAGCTCAGGTGGCTAAGGGAAAAGATAGGTTTAGTCAGTCAGGAACCAGTATTATTTGCCACAACAATAAGAGAGAACATAGCATATGGAAAGGAAAATGCCACAGAAGATGAAATCAACAAAGCCCTTCAGTCTTCTTCTGCTGCAGCCTTCATCAAAGACTTACCACTGGTGAACACTTTTGTTTCTTTATTCCTCCCTTAATTTTTTGTAAATACATGATGAGATGAACAAGCTTCTGTTGGTGTAAATATTACAAAATAATACAGAAAAGATTTGACTAGATCACTCTTAATGTTGATATAAGTTACTGGATATTTGATTTTATATCACCGGACATGGAAATATATCATGTAAGATTTTTATCAGGGTCTAGACACCGTGGTAGGCAAGCTCGGAGCTCAACTCTCTGGTGGGCAAAAGCAGAGAATTACTATTGCTAGGATAATTCTAAAGGACCTACAGTTTTCCTTCTTGATGAAATAACAAGTGCATTGGACACAAAAACTGAAAAAGCAATCTATGATGAAATCTTCGTTACTCACAGTTTATCAAGTGTTGAAACGTTGACAGTATTGCAGTTATGCATCAGGGAAAAATTGTGGAGCAAGGTAACTATGTCAAAATATTTATCTGATAACATTACTAACTCTTTCATGTCTTCTATTTAGGAACTCATGCTGAATTAATCAGAAATCAAGATGGGCACTATTCCAAACTAGTTAGCTCACAAGGGAAAAATCAAGTTGAGAATTCCAAACGGATGAATGGAGAAACAAGAAAGTACATCACTGAGACAATGGAAAATTTTGAGGGTCTGTTGTCATCCACTGAGAGTATTACGAGAGCAAGTTTATCAAGTACTAATCATTCTTCTAGAAAATATACTGGTATTAGTACTCAGGTTAGTTGCAGAGAAAATGAAATAAAAAAGGAACACAAATTTCAAAAGCATTCAACCTTTTCAATTAAGTGGCTTGCTAACCAATGCAAAGATGTTGTCCCAATTTTACTGATTGGAACATTTTCTGCAATAGTTCATGGTATAGCATTTCCAGTATATGGGTTCCTATGCGCAACAGCTATAACAATTTTTTATGAACCTCCTAGTCAGCAAGAAAAAGATTCAAGTTATTGGGCACAAATGTATGTTTATAGGCAGTATCACATTCTTAGCAGTATTATCCCAAAACTATTCATTTGGAGCTGCAAGTGGTAAGCTGATAAAGCAAATTTCATTGCTATCATTTGACAAGATTGTTCATCGAGAAATTTGCTGGTTTGATGATCCTTCAAATTCAAGGAAAATTGCTTAGTTGCTTACTCGTTTTCAAAGTTGTAGAGAACTTTTCTAAATTTTCTTCTTTTATTGCTTAATCTCAGTGGTTCGGTTGGTGCAAGGCTCTCTTGCAATGCTGCAATGTTGCAGAGCCTTCTGAAAGATGGCTTGTCCCTCCTTATCCAAAATATATCAACAGTTTTTGCTGGATTGTTCATAGCTTTAATGGAGAACTGCATGTTGGCATTGATACTTATCGCATTGTGTACCACGTTGGCAATGCTAAGCTTCATTCAAACAAAATTCCTCAAAAGATTTGCTGCAGATGCTGAGGTTGATCAGATGATATTTGTATTCACAGTGCAGCATGAATAAGGATTGTACAGCATACCAACTTAACAAAATTTTCACTTGTTTTCAGCTTATTTATACTGAGCAAAGTCAAGTTGCAAGTGATGCCATTGGAAATATAAGAACAGTCGCATCAATTTGTGCAGAAGATAAGGTGATGGAGTTATATCGGAAAAAATCTGGCACCAAAATGACACACTGGATCCGACTAGGAATTATAAGTATCAACTTTGGCATTTCTCAATTTGGATACTTTTTCACAAGTGCCCTGTGTTTCTACATTGGTTCCGTTCTTGTTGAACAAAAGTAAGCAACTCTGGCAGAACTTTTCAAGGTGGATAGCGCAATTATACTTTCTTTTTCTCATTGAAGTTTAAGTGTAAAATTCGGAGCTCTGGCCTGTGATTGCAGGTTTACTTGGCTTTCATAGCCTCAGCAGCAGGAATAGCACAAGCCAATGGTACGACATTAGATGCAAATAAAGTCTCTGCTTTGGCTAGTTCATTGTATAACATTTTTGACAGCAAAGAGACAAATGGTTCTAGGAGCACAACGGGCATGACACCGAAAAATCTAAGAGGTGACCTTGAATTCCAAAATGTTAGCTTCAGTTATCCATGTCGGCCAAATGTACAAATTCTGAAAGATGTGTCCTTGAACATTTCTCCTGGAAAGGTACGAAGTTTGTTTCACTGAATCTCTTTCTTAATTCCTGCTAGTACCTTTGAATTCATGCGCAGTAGATCATCTGATATTGTTAGGACTGACCCAGGAATAAATAAACTAAAGTTAGAACAAAATAGGCGGTATAACCGACCATATAATGATTAGGCGGTAGATACCAGCCATATAATAATTAGGCCGTAAAATCAACCATATAAAAGGGTTGTGACAACCCAATAAAGACAAATAACAAAGCAAAATAAAAGATACAGAAATTTACGTGGTTCGATCAAATTGATCTACGTCCACGGGCGAGGTAGGAACAATATTTCTACTATGAAGAAAAAATACAAAAACCGTAGGAAAGTGGTTCATAGGCCAAAATGGCACTTATAAAAGGTTTAAGAAATATTCTTAAACTCAAAACAAGAGAGCCTAAAATATTTGACTAAATGGCTTAGATGACTCAAGAAACTAATAGCCCATATAATACTCTCTTGAGTGGTACACTTGATTCCTTCTTCTATTTATAGGCTCTCCAACGAAGCCTTCCTGCTATCTGCTACAATGTGGACGAAAGTATTATGCCACGGTCAAACATTACGACCGTTGGAAAAATCAATAAATTCTACCTTGGCATAATTTCTAGTCCTACCATCGACAATAGTAAAATTGCTCTACCTTCTTCACATAAACCCAACGGGCCAAATCACATACAACGAACACCAACCAAGCCCAAGCACTGCTTAAACTTGTAAACTGGAAGAGGTTTCATAAACATGTCAGTTGGATTGTCCTTGGTATTGATTTTCTGAATAAGGACCTTTTCTTCAGCAATGATATTCCGAATGAAGTGATACTTCACATCAATGTGTTTCGTCCTCTCATGATACATCTGATCTTTAGTCAAGTGTATAGTACTTTGATTATCACAGTGAATAATAGTAACACCTTGATGTAGACTAAACTCGCTAAATAAACTCTTCAACAACAAGGCTTCTTTAATTGCTTCGGTCACAGCCATATATTCTGCTTCTGTAGTAGACAAAGCTACGACAGGTTGTAGAGTAGCTTTCAACTAATAGCACAACCGCCAATGCAAAATACATAGTCTGAAAGTGATTTCTTCTATCAAGATCCCCAGCGTAGTCTGAATCTACAAAATCAGTCAAAGTGTTATTATTTCTTCCAAACTCCAAACATGCATTTGAAATACCTTGCAAGTATCTAAGAATCCACTTTACAGCTTGCCAATGTGCTTTATCAGGACAAGACATATATCTGCTAACAACACTGACTGCATGTGAGATATCTGGACGAATACAAATTATTGCATACATAACACTGCGACTGCACTGGAATAAAGAACCCGTGCCATATAATCTTCTTCTTCATCTGATTGTGGTGATTAAGCAGCCGATAGCCGAAAATGGCTAGCAAGAGGAGTAGATACTGGTTTAGCATCTTTCATGCCAAAACGCTTCAAGACTTTCTCAAGGTAATTTTTCAGGGTCAAAAACAACTTCCCTACTCCTCGATCTCGATTAATATCCATGCCAAGAATTTTCTTAGTTGCTCCCAAATCTTTTATTTCAAATTCACTATTTAACTGCAGTTTCAAAGTGTGAATTTCTGACAAATTCTTGGCAGCAATGAGCATGTCATCAATATATAACAATAAGTAAATGAAAGAATCATCATTTAACTTCCGGAAGTAAACACAACTATCATACATGCTTTTAAATAACCATGACCCAACATAAAGGAATCAAAACTCTTATACCACTGTCTTGGAAACTGTTTCAATCCATATAAGGATTTCTTCAATAAGCAAACATGGTCTTTCTTACCTTCAATTTCAAAACCCTAGGGTTGTTTCATATAAATTTGTTCTTCAAGTTCGCCATGCAAGAAAGCTGTCTTAACATCAAGCTGTTCTAACTCCAAATCATACATGGCAACTAAAACAAGCAAAACACGAATAGAGCTATGTTTAACAACAGGTGAAAAAACTTCATTAAAATCAACACCTTGTACCTGACTATAGCCCTTTACAACTAATCATGCTTTAACTTGCATCTTCAACCCCTGGAATACCTTCCTTTTTCTTGAAAACCCATTTGCAACCAACTATTTTCTTATTTGACGGCGGCTTTACAAGAACCCAAGTTTCATTTTGATGAAGAGATTCAATTTCTTCATTCATCGCAATCAACCACTTTGCAAATCATCACAAGAAATTGCTTCTAAATAGGTGGAAGGCTCACAATTGCATCAGTTTCTTGTGCAACAGACAAAGCATATGCAACTAAATTTACATATCTTTGTGGTGGTCGAATGTCTCTCCTTGTTCTATTTCTGGCTATGGAATATTCCTTTTCTTCTGAACTATCTTCAACAGTAGATTTAGGTGCATCTACTGGCTCTTGCTGAATAGAAGATTTGGACTGAGAAGGATCGAAACTGCCAATATCAAGCTCCACCTGCTTCTGTGTACTATCAGTAGTACAAGGACTAGAAAACTCCTTCTTGGAAGATAATATAGACAATTCATCAAAAGTAACATTTCTATTGATTATAAATTTTGAAAATTTGAAATCAGAACACATGATCTGTATCCTTTCACCCTATAAGTATACTCAAGAAAAATGCACTTTTTAACTCTAGACTCCAATTTTTCATCATTCACATGCATGTATGCTGAACACCCAAAAACTTTTAAATTGGAATAATCAGCAGGAGTACCTGACCAAACTTCCTCAGGAGTTTTGAAATCAAGAAATGTAGAAGGAGAACGGTTGACAATATAACATGCCATATTGATTGCCTCTTCCCAAAAGTCGTTTGTCAACCCTGCATTGGAGATCATATATCTTGCTCTCTTCAAAAGCGTTCTATTTATACGTTCGCTACACTGTTTTGTTGAGTCATCATTCTGACAGTGCGATGCCGAACAATGCCTTCATTCTTACAAAATTCATTAAATTCACCTTCACAAAATTTCATACCATTATTGTTCTCAACCACTTAATATGTTTTTCCGTTTGTTTCTCAATCAAAACTTTCCATTGTTTGAAAGTTAGGAAAATATCATTTTTATGTTTAAGAAAATATATCCAAACTTTCTTTGAATAATCATCAATGAAAGTCAACATGTACCTGGCACCACCTTTAGAAGGAGCACGAGAAGGCC